TTTTCTATTTTATTTTAGAGACAGGGTCTCCGTGAGCTGCTCAGGGCCTCGCTCAGTGGCTGAGGCTGGCCTCCATTTCCATCCTCCTGCCTCAGCCTCCAGAGCCGCTGGGATGACAGGCGTGCGCCCACCACACCCCGCTATTTCATTCCTTTTTATATTCATTTTTTTTAACAATTAAAAAAAAAAAAAAGAATTCCGTACCGTTCCTGAAGGACAAAACGTCCAAAAAACCCATTTGGAGCTGAACTTTTACATCGAGGTTCCCAACCCTGACTCGTTCCTTTCTCTGTTCCGCCGTGAAAACCCCCAGGACGATACTCCTCAATCCACGTTTCTTGAAGGAACAATGAACAGATTCCTTGAGAAATGAGAGCCCTGGGGGGGGATTCTGTCCCCATAAAACAGAAAAAAAGGATCCCCCAAGACATTCTGAAGCTACCCATTTGCATTCCTGAAACAAATAAAATGAGAGACGTGTACAGTAGGGTCACAGAATGAAGAGTTCCAAGAATTTCCGGTGTGTGTCATGGGCAGGTCACTGAGATGTGGCCAGAGGTGGGCAATAGTGATAAGTAGCTGTTAAATACTGCATCGGTCAGCTCTCCCGGACTGTGACACAACGGATGAGAAAAAGCAACTTATAAAGAGGAAAGGTTCATTTGGCCTTGCCGTCCGTGGCTGGGGGCGGATCCTTTTGTTTTGGGACTGTGACCAAGTCCCAAAGGTCACCTCCTAGTGGGGAGTATGTCGTGGAGGAAAGCTACTCACTTCATGGCCAGGACAAGAGAGAGAGGAAGAGAAGAAGTACCCCATAATTTCCTTTGAGGGCATGACGCCAATGACCTAAAATCTCCCATTAGGCCCCGCCCCTTAAAGGAGATATCCCCTTCCAATAGTAACCAAACCAAGGACCCAGTTTCTAATCCACGGGCCTTGGAAGAACATTCTAGATCCAAACTAGAGCAAATCCATAGAGGGGATTGAACCCGGGGGGACTTGACCAATGACCACATCCTCAGCCTGTTTTGTTTTTAATATTTGATTCAGAGACAGGCTGTTGCTGAGTGGCTGAGGGCCTCACTAAGTGGCTGAGGCTGGCCTCCACCTTGCCATCCTCCTGCCTCGGCCTCCTGAGGTGCTGGGAGGACAGACGTGTACTTTGCTCTCGACTCCACAGTCACTCAGTAAAGGACTGTTTCCCAGCCGCAGCCTCCACCCAGACCCTCTCTTCCGCCTTTGGCAACTTCCCAAAAGAAAAGCCATGTCCTTCCCCACTGAGTGCCCAAGGTCACTCTGCTATAAAATAAAATAATTAAAAAAAATTGGTGGGGAAGAAGAGGAGGAGGGTAAAGGGGAAGGGGACAGCACACGGCAGGGCATGGGACCCACGGCGCATTCCATTCCACTAGACCTGTCTCAAGCTCACGGCCACCCAAGCCCAGAGGTGGCCCGGTGAGTGGAACCCTTGGAGGGCCACTCACTCTGTGTCTCTCCCATAGTGATGAAGCCAAAAAAAAAATAAAAAAAAGAATTGTCAACACATTTTTTCAAACATTTCCCACAAAAACACATTCCTGGTAAAACGGGTGGCCGTCTATTTTGGAACCGCATCCCTCAAGGGACCTGGACTCAAATCTGTCCCCCTGCAGCGCAGCGTCGCTCCCGTCCCCGAACCTTGTAAATATTCTTTCTCCCTCCGCGTGGGACCCCGGCCTCGGGGACATGGCACCTCGGGGCGCCCCCGGACAGACCTGGCCCTGCCACCTCCCTGCCCCTGAGTTACAGAGAAAGAACAGACCACGCACACTCACACTCACACACTCACACACTCACACACTCATGCACACACTCACACAATCACACTCACACGCTCACACTCACTCACACACTCATGCATACAATCACACACGCTCACACTCACATGCACTCACACTCACATGCACTCACACTCTCATGCACACAATCAGACAATCACACTCACACACTCACACTCACTCACACACTCACACACTGATGCACACAATCACACACACATTCACACGCTCACACTCACATGCACTCACACTCTCATGCACACATACTCACACACACCACACATTCATGCACACACCCCCACACACACATACACATACACACACACAGTCATGCACATACTCACACACTCATGCACACAATCACACACACACTCACACACTCACAT